GGGGTCTCAGAAGGCAAGAGTAGAGGGGCAGAATTGCCTGCTGGCCTTTGGATGCAGCCCGGGATGCAATTAGTTTTCTATATAGAGAGTGTAGGAATTTTACCTAAGAACTAAGGTGGTAAAGAACCTTAGTGGTTGCAAAAACTTCTCTCCCCTCCCTTCTTATCATTCTATAAATAGGTTTTTTACTCTTCAAAATTAGAGGGAAAAACGGGAGAAAGACTGGAAGTGTTCTTGAAGAAAAAGAGTAGAAGCATATTGGTATTTTCAAAGAGCAAATGATCTGATAGAGGAGCAACCTTTATTCAAATGGCTTCATAAATTCTAATTTTATTCTTTAGACATTTGGGCACTGTGCTTACTATTTTTCTTGGTAATGCCTGAATTTTGGCTCTCAAAAGAATTCTAGTGAGGATTAAAATCTTAAGTATACAAATCTACAAAACTGCTTTCTTTTCCTTAGGTATGGAGAGGATGCTGGTCATGCTACAGACAATGCTATGAATTCTGCAATCAATGTTGGTGTTACAGCATTTAACATTGAAAATATTGGTATAAAATCTGTTGTAAAGAGAACTGCAAAGGAAACTGGCCATGCTGTGCTAGATGAATATAAAGTATTGGATAATGAGAAGAAGGGTAAAAAATGAAAGCAATTAAATACTTCTCAGAGCCTTACATTAGAGATGAAACTTCCTATTTAGAAGTAACTACACTGCTCATCTGACATTGAACATAAGTCACACTGTACTTTTCAAGTAACTGTTACTTAATTTGACAAGAAAATGTAAAAGTAGGAAGAGCATTTGTAGGAGGAGAAATGAAAGTTGTCACCTCCTTGTTCAGTACAGAACAAGGGGTTTAAACAACTGGATCAGGGATTTAGGCAACTGGAAGCTTATGAGTTTGCAGTTCATATATTTGTGTCTTCAAGCACTTTTTCAAAATAATATATGGAATAATAGATTAATATAGAAATACTGTTGTGAATATTTTTGTAACACTTTATATTTATAAAGAAGGTGGTGATACAGAGAGAGTAGGATTGCTAATTCTGGAATAAGTAAAATTACCAGTTTTGGCTTTATAACTATCCCTAAGGATTAGTTTTACTAATCAAGCCTTGTCTTATTTAATATGCACTACTAAAATAAGCATTTTGTTTCATAGAGAATTTATCTTTTCACCTACAAAAAAGCTGATCTTACTCAAAGTTCATGTTAGGAAAAATGAAAGATGAACCTCAGGTAATTAGGTAGTCATTCCCTTTCAAACTTTTGTTTTTCCTCATCCAGCATATAAGTAAACCAAAGATACCAAGCATTTCTTCTAAAAGAGAGTACTTACAGGTCTAGAAAAATGCATTTCCAGTTGACTTCATAAGGAAGGTACAAAGATGCTTTGAAATTCAGGTTTTTATGTAGAGAGAATAAGTATGGTTTTGCATAAATGAAAGTATTTTTCTGTGAAAATATTAGAGGGCAGTGGGAAATTCTATGCATTCTGTACTTTTCAGCTGATCCAGAAAGATTCAGATTGTGTATCATGACCTCCTAAGGGAAGACTCCTAATGTTTGAAGAAATAGTTCTAATGGTCATCATCTTTATTCCATTAAATTGATAGTTGCACAAGGGTGTGAAGTGTTGAAAGAGACAGTGAAGACAAACCCTTTTAATGAAGAGTTGTGTAGAATAGACACTTCTGTGTAGATTTGTCATCTCATTTGTAGCATAGTGTAAAATAACTCAAGATGTTAAATCCTTGAGATGCTTTGACACTGCTACTTATTTAACACTTTACTATTGAGTTCTAAAGCTGCTGCACATTCTAATATTGTCTGGACCTGCAACAGACAGAATGCAAACAACTTAAAACTTACCTCCATTTCATGTAAATGGAGAAAATAGCTATAAATTGTTGTTGGCAAGTGATATTTGTAGAAGATTGAAAAAATACAGTTAACAACCACAGTCTCTTAGAATGGTAATAGGTGCATATTTTGTGGTAGCTACTACAGGTGTGTGTTTAAGGTGAGAAATGTGAAAGAAAGGATCTAACCACTTGAAGTGTAACTTGGATTTATGCAAATAAAGATAAAATCTGTGCTTGACCTTTTTATAATATGAAGCTGATGCTGCCAGGAATACTGCCATATGAAGCTACTATATGGATCCATAAGTGGAAGAACTAGGACTTATTCAGAAGTAATAAAATAGCAGTATTGGGGTATATATACGGTATAAACAAGCTTATCAACTAGGCCTTAAATACTTCAAACTAATAAGTTGCATCCAAAGCACACTGCAACAATTTCTGTTACTATAGTCTGCCACTTGCCAGCTTGTGTAACCAGCTAAAGATTGCTGAAGACATAACACTAGCAAAAGCATTTTTTGTTGCTATGAGCTGTATTTGCAACAGGGGTATAGGTATTTGCATCTTCTATGTCCCTCCCATTTTGAGGTTTTGCATATAGCTCATACCCTTCAGTTTCATCTATAAACCATCAAAACAACAGTTAAGATCAAGGTGTTACAGTCTTCAAGAGACCACATTGGAGTGCACTGAGGAAAAACAGTATTTAAATGCCATCAGTATCAGGTAGTGGTGTCCTGCTCAACCTGCTGTTGTTCTCTTCATGTGTATGTCTTTCAAAATGGATTAAAACTATTTTTTGCATGATGCCTACCCCCTTTTACAGTTTGTAATGTGATATATCCATGATGTTCCCTTTTCCAAAGTTTAGTTAATTTTCCCAGCTGATAGTATGACGCTTGAACTTACCTCGGTTCACCTGCCACTTCTTAGGCCCAGGGTAGCAACTCCATAGGCTTCTCCTCCATTCTTCTACTATGTACAACAGCCTTCTCACAATTACTGCCTTAGCTCAGCTCTCTTTTATATATTAAGCTCCCCAAACCTCCTGTCTTAGGTTGGCTTCCTATTCACAGCTTGGTTTTGTTTCTTGGAACACTGAACATCTTTTGATACATGGCAGTCCTAGATATTTTACTAAGCTGTGTAGTATATGAACTACTACGTGATTTCCTAAGGCATTCTTACTTCCAAATTTATTCAAAGACTTTTCTGCTACAATATTTGTCTCAAATCATGTCTTGAGAGGATTACTTTCAATGATCTCTAAGTCATTCTAAGCTACAGCCATCTCTGGCATTTTCATCATTGTGTAGATATAAACCATGGTTCTTATCTCAAATCTAAACCCTTGTATTTGAATGGATTCCTCTAGATTCCAAGGGTTGTTTGATTGGTTTGTTTAATGCTGGTTTAAAACCAACTTGGAATAGCTTGTTTTTAATGTTCTCTGAATAAATCCATAATCCTTTAAAAAGAATTGGTAAACCTACCTTCCACTACAAAAAACATGCTGACCAGCTTACAATAGAATGGTGAGGGTTGGAAGGGAGCACCTCGTCTGTAATCCACCTGCTCAAAACAGGTCTAGCCTGCAGCACAGTACTCTGCCCCAGTTCTGCTCATGTTGTGATTATCTCAAAGGATGGAGACTTCACAGCCCCTCTGGGCAACCTTTACCCAACTTGACTCTGCTCAATATTTCCCCTTATACTGAGCCAAACATTTTTAAATGCAGATGCATTCTATTGCATATCCTTCCATCATGCTGGAGGAAACTTTGGCTTCTCCATCTTATTTAGACTTTCATACTACGTAGCTAATTACAGCACTAAGCTCTCTTGATGCCTTCTCTTCTCCAGCCTGAACATAAAGGCAAGTTCCTGAATTAATGCAGTCCTTGGGACTTGTTTGGGAGTCAAAAGCTAAGCACTTCAGCATGTGTTGAACAGAGTGGAAGAACTGTCTCCCTCAGGCTCCTGGCCGTGCCCTTGCTGTGGCAGCCCAGGAGTCCTTTGGTCTTGTTTGCTGTAAGCTGTTGGCAGCTCACGGCAGCTTCTTCACCAGGAAGCCTGTGTCTTCTACAGCACTGCATTCTAGACACTAGTCCAGCCTTATTGATCCATGGGCTTTACCGATGCCAGATACTGGGCTTTGCACTTGATTTTTGTTGAATTTCATTAGGTTTCTCCAGGCTACCTACCTGTGAATGGTCACCCTTTTCCTCCTGCGTACTAACTGCTCCTCCCAACTCATCGCCGTCATCAAATGTGCTGAGCTTGTGCTCAGTCTTCCAGGTTGTCAATCAGGAATTAAGGGTATTGGCTCAGGTATTGAGCCCAGAGTCAAGCAGTCATACTGCTGATCTCCACACTTCAAGCCTGATGGCCCAACCAATTTTCCAGAAGCCTTATGAACCAGTTATCCAATCTGGAACTCACCAATTCAGTTATAAAAGTACTGTGGGAGACTACATCAAAGTCTTTGGTAAAGTCAAAATATACAACATCCGCAAGTTTCCCCTTGCCCACGCATCCGTTCATCAAACCTTAGTTACTGGTGCTACAGAAATAACTTTGTAAAAATTAATTTATGCCTTCAGCAACTGATCTACCTTGCTTTTAAGTAACTCTAGGTGTTTAATGCCTTTACCTATCATAAATACATACTTAAGTATAAAATTCTTTTCAAAACACATTGCGTTGTGACCAAGTTTTCTAACTGTTCTTACTAAAATTTTTGAACTCAATGCATTAAAAGCCTTAAAACAATGATAATGCCTTTAGCGGTATCCATTTACCTAATTTTAACTAATTTATTTGGAATAAAGAAATGGAGGGCAATTCTTTAGTGTTGCAAGTGTCACTATGTTACTGCTGTGATTGTTAAAAATATTGATGGTTTGAAATTTCACACTGTCCTGATTTAGGGCAAATTTGGGAGAAAACCTCCAAAGGGGTTCCTCTAGAAAGCAGATTCAAGTGACCCCTCCTTCAACTGGTTTGGAAAAAGATTTCCTTGGAGGAAAATGGAAAAAAAAACTTTATTTAACAGGCAAAGCATTCATCAGCACAAAAAAAAATTAACAATATTTAACAATAAAACCTCTTGCTGCTCCGAAGAGATGACAAAGTCAGAAAGTCCCTGGTGGGCTATAGCTCAGCTCACTCAGTTTCTTATCAGTCCCTCTAGCGCTGGTAATGCTGCGGTCCAGGCTTGGGCCGCAGGTGCAAGTTCCTAGTGCTCTTCTGGGTTTTCAGTCCAGAGCAGGTTCAAACTTCAAAACGAAAAACCACAGTCCAGGGAACTTCTCTGCCTCAACTAGCTAAAACTAACTAAAAACCCAAGGAAAGCTCTCTCCTGCCATCTGTCTGTGCTGCAGACAACACAGTCCAGGAGAAGGATGCGGGGGAGCAAATGCCATCCCTGATAATAAGCTCCGTGCTTCTCTCCCCCCCTTCACTCTTGGAACCAGTTTTAAAGGTGCAAAACTTATGTCTGGGCTAAACAGATGAATGTGAATACAATTCAGCATCATAAAGTCACCCCAGAACACACACTCACACAAGACCTGAGTCCACAAGACACTTGTGCTTTTTTCTCACTCTGGTTCCCAAACCATCAGGTGAAACACCCAGTTAGACCTGCTGTGCTGTGCCAGCCCAGCCCGTGTGGTCTGGGCTCATCCTTATGTGCACAGCGACCTGGTTCCTGAGAGTTTACCTGGTTAAGACACCTAGTAATCCCTGGGTGAGGGTGGGACCTGAAAGTATCCTGAGATCAAATTAAAGTCTCCTTGGGCAGAAAGAGTATGCTGTGGGTGGGGATACAGCCCTCAGTTCCCCCTCTGTTCTCAGACTTTTTGTGATTCCAGGCCTCTTCCTGAGCTTTCTGAATGTGCCCACCCATTGAGAACAATTCATCAGGCTGGTTACATTCATCTTGAAGCAGTTGTTCACAAAAACTTGTAACAAGAAAAATGGTTATTGATTAAAAACTTTGCTGCCAATATTCAGTACACTCAGTGAGTTATGAATGCTAACCTAGGTCCAAATCATTACTTAAATTACTGGTTTGTTATGAAATGTGTTTTCATTATGAATCTTAAAAAGGTAGCATTCAGTAATACATGAAAGCAAAATGAGCAGCTAAATTTAAATGCAGTTACATTGCAGCACTCTTCTAAATTTGTTTCTTGATTAAATTGTATCAGAAAATTCTGAATTTAACCCACACCAAAAATGGTAATAGCTGATAGAATCAGTTATAACTTGAGACTCAAAAATCGTCTTGCTCAAGAGGAGGAGTCTCATATATCAGACAAGTGAAATAAAAATTACTTTTTCTTCTTTGAATCAATCTTCCCACTCTCTATCTTGCCGTTGTACTCCCATTCATTAGATCCTGCTGGATTAGTGCCCTGCTGTTGCAGTATCAGTGAGGCATTAGATTGGCCAATTTCAATGTGACACCACCACTTTAGGATTACAATTCACATTTCAGGACTGACTTGTGGATGGCAATACTGGTTTATATTATGTTAACGTAATAGTAATACATACCCCATGTTTAAAACTTTTAAAGCAGTGCCTGTGTTACCCAGCAAGTGGTAGGGCTATGGCATTTGGCTTGCTACTCATGCAACACAATTACTTGAACTGAGAAAACCATACCCTCTCTCATGATATATCCATAAAGGAAAATTAAAGTCCACCCCCTTCCTGGGAAAGTGAACGGATAGTTCCTCTAGCAAGCATTAAGTCTTGTGAAATGGTGAGTTGATCTAAGAGTGCACTAATTGCTCCCAGTTTCTCCCTGTCCCTTGCATCAAGTCTGGTGCTTTCCTGTGCAGCTGGTAAGGCACTTCAGATCACCAACCAACAGAAACTGTGAACATTAAACATTTTCCCTTATGTAAGTTTTCAATGTTCAGCAGCCGTACTGGCTCACTGTAGAGCCACACAAATGTCAAAAGCTGGCATTGAAGCAGCCATAGAAGGTGACCGGAAGAACCTTACAGAGGTGACACCACTCTTACAGCAATAATCTGATTAACTCAACCCATAAAGATTTACCTTGAGAAACCCATTAACTGATCTGAAATTCCTTGTTTGAAAAACGCAACATCAGACATTTTTAAGCATCAATCGAGACCATGTAAGATATTTTCCAATATATATTGACTAACACCATTGACTTGATTAGTGATGATGATTAAGGCCAATTATTCTGAACACTCCTGTTTCAAGTTAGGGTCTTACACATTGATTAGTAAATAGCACAGATCACAATTATTGAGCGTGCTAAAAGATGGGCTGGTCAAGCCATAGGCCAGGTTCCACCGTACTGTGCCTGCCTTCACATGTGGGTGCCAGCGTCTACTTAAAATTGTGCTACTTCCCATCCAGAAGAAATATTTTTAAAAATCTGCACACATTTGTGTTTCCCTAGGTCATGAAAAGCTCAGCACACAGTTCAACCTACACGACCAAAACTCATAACTGGGCCAAAGCTGTATCCTATTTCCCCCATCCCTTTCTGGTGCTGCCCGAGCCACATGCTGGGCATTTCGCTAGACAAGGACAGAACAGCCCGTCCAACGCGGGCCGCCACAGCAACGGCGGGCGAACGCTGCAGCAAACGCGGGCGGACGGGATGGGGCGGCACCCGTCGGGGCCGGGCCAGGTGCCGGCGGTAGTACCCGAGCCCGTCTCCTCTCTCGGCTTTTTCTGGGCAGCGGGAGAGCAGCGGGGGCTGCGGAGTAAAAGGTGCCCGAGCCGGGGCTGGGGTGGCCTCAGCGCGCCGCTGCCTCGGGCTCCGCCGGGCGCTCGCAGCCGTCACCCCGCGCAACGCCGGCGACGCGGGGGATGCGAGCGGAACGGGCGCCGGCAGCGGCGGCGGCAATGGGGGAAGGCGGCGGCCGGCGGGCGGCAGAGCCGGAGCGCTTGGCGCTGGAGCTGGGGCGGGGGAGGCGGAAGCAGTGAGTCCGGCGGGGGACGCGGCGAGGCCGGGCACGGCGGCGGCTCCAGGAGCGGCCCCTCAGCAACGCCCGCGGGGCGCTCCCGCCGTCTCCCTGCGGCAAAATGGCGGCTGGCTCCGCTGCGAGGGGAGCGGGCGGGGCCTACGGCCTGCCCGGAGCCCCTCAGCGCGGCCCGGCTGTGCGGGGAGCGCCGCTCGCTCTGCTGGGCACCGGCAAGGGCTGGCCCGAGGGATGCGAGTGGCACGAGGAGCCCGAAAAAGCGGGATAATGCCAGTCGTAGTGGAAGATAGGGCCGGCTGCCGTGGTTAACGGCGGCAGGCAGCTCAGCACCCACACAGCCGCTCGCTCCCTCTCCTGCTAGTGGGTGGGATGGGGGAGAGAAGGAAGGAAGGGTGAAAGAGAGAAAATTCGCGGGTTGAGACAAAGACATTTTAATAACTAAAAGGGAACAACAACAACAAAAAGGAAACAATCCCAAGAAAAGCAACTGATGCAAAAACCTCCAAGTGCTCACCACCAGTGGGATGATGCATTTCCCTAGGCAAAGCAGCCCCAGCAAGTCCCAACACCTTAGTTTTTATTTCTGAATGTGACATGATATAGTGGGATATCGCTTTGGTCAGTGGGATCAGCTGTCCCAGCCATGTCCCCTCCCATCTCCTTGTGCAACTCCAGCTCTCTCTCATGGGGTGAGGAGCAGAAAAGGCCTTGATGCAGTGTAAACAATGCTCGATGGTAACCAAAACATCACTGTGCTATCAACACAGTTTTCATCACAAATCTGAAACATAGTCCCATATCACCTGCTGTGGAGTGAATTATATGTGTCCAAGGCAAGCACAGTACACTGGGCTGGGAAGCCACTTTGGGGGAAAAACAGAGAAGACTTTTACGTGGGTTCATGCCTTGCTGGGGGAAGATGAATAAAATGGAGAATAAGGTGCTCCTTATGCACACTTCTTTCTACAGTGTTGAGTAAAAGTGGAAAGCTGCATTTCACCTAGGGTCAGTAAATATCTCAGAGACCTCTAAGTAAGGTACGGCATCTCTGCATGCAGTTTGCAAGGATGAGGACTTGTTCCTTTTAGCAGTCAGTCCCCTTGCTAAAGCAGCAGTTTTTTCAGTGCTTTGATAATTGATGATGCTCATGCCTGGTGGGATTGTTTTTTTTCCTGTTTGCTTAGGAAGCTACACATTTTTCCCTTTGTTGAACAACATGATTGCCTTTTGAGTGTTAATAAATGGAAATAGGAAATGTTGGAAGCTCCTGTGCCTGAATTCAGACTCTTGATATTTACATTTACATACCATTTTCAAGCATTCTATTCATACTGATTTTTCACCTGAAAAATCAGTATGAATAGAATGCTTGAAAATGGTATGTAAATGTAAATGTTTCTTTCAGTGTCTGAGCTGCAGACCTCTTCAAACTAGTCCTGCAGTGTGGATTTTATAGAATGTTCATTCATAAATTGAAAAGGAAAACCCAGTACTAACAGAATCAAAATGGCACAAAAAGTAGCTTGGACATACTTGCACCAATGTGTAAGTAAATGACCTTTAATAAATCTCCTGACTTAGTAGTAGTGTCTCAGGGTAAATAGATCAGTTATCCTCTGCATGCACCAGTTATTTTACCTGACATATGATATTAATGATGATCAGGTACAAAGCTGAGTTGTGGTGACTTATGGATAAAAGCAAAATATATAATTAATAAAAACCTTTATGGTGATGGCATGCCAGTAAAAGACTTTCAGCTCCAACTCGGTTCTACAACTATTTTCTTTGTGTGCAAATCAACAATATTGTCTGTTTCCCATGAGCTATTTATTCAGCTTAATTGCCAATGACCAGGCTTGTTAGACATCTCCACCTAAACCAGTGGCATGTGTAGTCAATGAGTACAGAAAAGCTTTTTGAAGGTGTGATTCATCTGACCTACTTTGCCTGGCTGTTCTAGCATGAGATGACTCACACCCTAGGAGGTGCCAATTTCTCTCCCTTGGGTAGAAGCAAGCTGAGGATGAGTGGCTTGCAGATAGATGTCTGCATTCCTTCACTGCCATCTCACCCTTGTCATCATTTTACTGGCGTATCTGATTGTTGTGCCAATTAGGCAGTTTGCTAACAGCCCACCTACCCCTCTCATTTAGCAGTCATGAAGAAGAGATTTTTACTTCACAGAGTAAATTGAATCATTCATGTCCATGAGAGGTCTGTTCCTGATGTACCTACTGACTCTTCGATGATTGTGGATGTAGTACTGTGAATCCAGTTTTTTTCTGACTGTAATGAAAGTCAGCTCAAATCTAACTCTGTATTGTTGTGATCAAGATTCAGTGCACGTTTTGATTGGGAAATGTCATGGCAAATGTTTCTGGGAGAGAGAGAGAGAGAAGGCATGTAATACTGCAGTGTACTTCTTACTAGACAAAGAGGTCTTAAAGACATGTATTTATGCATGTCAGCTACTTAGTAATGTTGATGGAATTGTATGTTACTTCAGCTTGTGAGATTTCATTTCCTGTGGCTTTCCTTGCCAGGAAAGATGCAGCATTTTCCCAGCACATTGCTGACTGCAAGTGTCAGGAGTCTGGAGCTTTCAATACTGTACCTGCTCTTCCATGTGGTGCCCCTGCACTGTGCAATATTGTTTCTGCTTTGTTTGTAGATTCTGAAGGCATCTGTGCATTTTATCTTCTACAGGACTTAGTAAAGAGCTGATAGATAGAGCTGATTCCCTAGAGCTGATGACTTGTCCTGAGCTTCTCCTGATTTTTCTCCTGAGTTTTTCTCTTGACTATAGAAAATTGCTTCAGGCAGCCTTTTGCCTGATACATGTTCCAGATATCCAGACCTGGGTAGCAAAACGTGCAGGAAAATAGTTTTCATCCTAAGTGGCTGCCATTGTCAAGTAAAATAATACCTGTAGACAGCCTGAAAAAGAAATTTAGCTTTTTTTTTCTCTTTTGTAATTTCAATCAGAGCCTTCTTATCTGAACTGCATATTTTTTTCTCATTTTCTTCACAAGAGCTTTTTTGTTATGCTTAGTATGCAAGGATGTGATTAGGTTCTCATGATGACTTAAATATGAGGTTTCAGGATTTACAGGCTTTCTTCTGTGATGACTGTAAATTGTCCATTGACATGGAGAAGATTTATAGGCCTTGAATAGACTATTTATGTCTAACACAAGTGAGGTTGCAGGTAAAAAGTGCAATGCAGTCCCTCTAAGCAAGGACCAAGTTTCTGGGCAGGTAGCCAGCTATACACAGCTGCATTAAATTGACACTAACAGATACATGGCATGACCTTCACTTCCTTTCAGAATTAGAAATAACTCCAGAAATGCAAAATTAACATTAAACCCCAGCAATACTTCCCAAGCCGCTCAAAGTGATTTATTTCTACATCCCTTCTCTGTCTGGGCAGGGATTGCATTTTACTGAATATGCACTGCCTGAAATGGAGTTGTTTTACCCTGGATGCATTCTGGGTGCTACTGGACTATTAAATGTTTAATAATAATTATATTTTTTTGAAAACTGGTTTCTGTTGCCACATGGAAAAAAGACTTTCTGTCAGTGTAGCAATTACAGTGTGACACCTGACAATTTAGCATTTTCGTACATATATTTATCAGAACAAAATATAATTGGAATTTGGCTTCTAGATTTGTTAATGGTGCAGAAAGAATAATAAAATCTAATGAAAGAAATTTTGTATCTCGTCTTGGAATGGTAACGGAAATTGAAAACTGGAAATATTGGATTTAAAGAGTTTATTCTTCCTGTGTTTTCCCTCTGCATCTGAGCACTTAGTTAAGATTTCTTTGAAAACTAAAACAATTTCATTTTGATACACCTCAGCTCTGGTTACAGCTTTGACTGTTTCTAATTTTCAGTGTTATTTCCTTTAAAAAACTCCCATTTTAGCACTCACTGTCATCATAATTTCCTCTTTTCCAAGCTCTGGGAAGTTGATAGAAATCTGCTTTGCAGAAACCTTATCTATTTGTGTTGAAATGATAGCAGCAATGTAGTAGGATTTTGTCTTTCTTCTTCCTAGCCATCTGCCTCTTTTATTTGGAGTGGGAGAAAACAGGCAGCAGCAATCAGATTTCCTTTGGCTTTCCTACATCTGAAGCTTTTTGAGTCATGCTTCAAGGCTTCTTTGGCTGGGTTTCACCTTTTCCTTTTTGTCTCTAGCAAGTTACCAGTACTGTAGTTATTTTTTTGCCAGTGTGCCCCCTGTCTTAATTTAATGTTGGTAAAGACAAAAAGAGCAATGGAGCAGGGAGGGCTTGGAAGCTCCACCTCTCCCTTGCCATTCAAGATGTCTGTCCTACTGTTCTCCAGTGTGTCTCTTTCACTGAAAAACTTGGTTTACCTTAAATTACTCTTCTTTATATTTCTTTGCAATTTCAGCTCTTCAGCCCTCCTTATTCCAAGTTTACCTATTCAACTCCCTATGAACAGTTGGTTTGTTTCTGCAGCTTGCAGTTGAAATCTGTTGCTTCAAGCTATGAAAAAGAAGTGTCACCAACTGAATGTGAGCACGAGTGCAAGAGGTGATGCAGTTCCTCAGTAATCAGTATCTGTCATCAGAGATTTGATTTCTCAGAGGTTTGATAATTATATCTTGAAGAACATTTCTCACAGGCATGTTCAGAAAATGAATATCCGTATTGACAATGGAAGCTCTCCTTTAAACACCCCCTCCCCCCAATATTACAGCCTAATAATTTTCTTTCTTGCATGTTTTAATGAACTAGGCTAAAGTTGCAAAGACACCAATTATCATATTGGCATTGTAAAGCATTTCCCAAAGGGCCTTCTTTGTAGAGTTTGTGTTCTCAGTTCTTTTGGAATATCTTAATTTGGACACTGAAAAATTAAGGTACCCAAGACCAATTGACTGTTTTTTTGAAATGTTGGCCTTCCAAACTTAGCTTTAAAGGACAAAGCCACAAACTGTCTCTGCATTTTTGGGCATTGTGTTTTTTGCTTGCATCTATCCTGGTGTGGTCTGACTTCCTGAGACCTCACAGGCAGGAGCATTTCTCCATAGACATCTCCTCAGAGAACCAGACTGTTAGCATGAATATGGGCAATAACTTATCGGTAATGCCTTCTTGATGTGATCAAGATCATAGGGTTCATTGTAAGACACTAAACTACCATCTGGCCACTTTGAAGGATGAGAGTCACTCAGCACCTTGTCTGAAGCATGCCAGGTGGGTTGTGCTCTTGTCAAAGTCCCCTGCTACCTTCAGCTTCTGATCACACCTTCCAAGGCAGAAAGAGCCTGGTTTTCACCATACCTTTCAGCTTGCTGGCTGACCAGGATGGACAAAAATATATTTTCCTGAAAAATGGTGGCTTGGGGTCCTGTATTTTTTTTTAACACTCATCTTACTTTAATTACTCACTTTCTTTTCTGATAGTCATAAATCATCATTTGTTTTGATTGGATTTAATATGGATGCAATTTAGGAAATGACTATTATTGAGCAGTAAGTCAAAATGAAAAACTAATTCAGAATTTCAAATAGCACATCTCTCAGGCATATTCTTGTTTTAAAAATATACTCATTGGGCATCTTTTAGTTGAAAAACAAGGGTCAGTGTCCCCTCTACATTTTTTTAATTCTGATGGATAGCTAGAAAATTATTATATTTTAGGAAATGTCTATCTTGGGTTTTTGTGGAAGTAGTTTTATTCACAAAGTAGAAATGCTTCATTGTTTTAAAGGCACTGTAGTAACCATTTTTCAATATATTTAAGAATGGACAAGATAATGTAACTACATAGAAATGACCAATACATCTGAATCTTCTGAATCAATCTTCTGAAAATATATTTGAACTATTTTTTTTTCTGATTTCAATAATGGGACTATTGAAATGGTACCAGAGCTATTTATTGGCTCGTGTAGCAATTTATTGACTTCTTTTAATACCACAGGCAGATGCTTGAAAGCTCAATATTTGAACTGAGAAACACTGTAACAGAACTGGAAAAAAGTCTTAACAGTGTTGAAAATGAAGGTAAGTAAATTACAACTGAATTTCTAATTGATTAGGAAACATAGATAAATAATTATTTTAGGAAGGACCTACAGGGGCTCATATATTTATTTAGAAATTTAAATTTTCACTTTTCAAACATGACTGTTATAACTGTGGTGCTTCAGATGTGAAATTAAGAAATACTACGTGTGGCCACACTAGCTTTTTTTGTTAATTATTCATGAAACTATGAACTATATAAATTCACAGAGTTGGTTAATATTCTGACCACAGTAAGCCTAGTGAAAATTTCCCTTGATTTACATTTTCAAGCTCTTTTATATGCAAAGATGAAGATTATTATTATGAAGATTACTAAGTGAAGACTTTCTCAGTCTTCAGTTAGTTAAAAGGAACAGTTTTTAAAAATGCTTTTGCTTAAAATGACATGAACTAATCCGGGAAATAAAATAATTCTGTACTTGTTCTTTAAGATAATGAATGGAAAACCAGATATGAGACACAAGTAGAATTGAACAAACAGCTGGAAAGGCAAATTAATATTCTTCAAGATAAGGTGGAGCTTATTCATGGAAATCCAGCAGGTAGAAATGGATATTTGTATCTTTTTCAATAGAATTAGTGGTGATTAGAGATGTTGAAATTATATCAACAGGTCACAATTTTCTGCTTATTTATAGATAAACTGTCCCTTGTTCGCATCTTTGATAAAATGCCTGTGGTAAGTACTGTGACATTTAGTTGGCTTAACAACAAATCACAGTCTAATTGAAAACTCATATAGTCTTTGTTTTTCATGACAAAAAATAGCAGCAGCCTGGTCTAGAAGAAAAAACAATCACTTCTGCTTATGTTTTTATTGTTTCATATATGCAATTGCTTATAAAATATTGAGTAAAATCCTTATGTAGGAAGTACATAAAACCTGAATGTTGGGAAGAGTTATGTAGTGAAATTTTTTCCATAGTGAAGGTTTTATAATTGAATCTGCAGTAAGGCTTACAATATGAAATAGCTGGACTAGATCTATGAATAAATGAGAAAACATTAAACCTCATGGAATCATTTAGTCTTTAACCACTCGCAGTAAAAAATGTCTTCAGTTTTGACCAAATGGAATTCCAGCTGTTTCAGTCTTCTTGTCCTATCATTGGGCACTGTTGAGAGGAGCCTGGCTGCTTCTTCATTCCTTCCCATCACAAATTTATACACATTGATGAGAACTACTGGGCCTTCTTGTCCCCAGGCTGAACAGTTGCAGATCTCTCAGCCTTTCCTCATCTGTCAGGTGCTCTGGTCTCTTAATCACCTTCATAGCCCTGTGTTGGATTTGCTCCAAGAAGTCCATATGATTCTTGTACTGAAGAACTGGACCCAGCACTGCCGCTAGATCTCTCAGGTGCTAAGGATAAGGGTCAGATTACCTCCCTTAACCTGTTGGCAACACCTTCCTAGTGCAGCCCAGGAACCACAGGCCACCCTTGCAGCAAGAGTGCATTGATTTCTTAGGGTCACCTTGCTCACAAGGACCCCAAAGACATTGTCTGCCAGGTTGCTTCCCAGACAGTCAGCTCCAGTATATATGCTGGTGCCTAGATTATTTCTCCCCCAGGGGCAGGACTGCATTTACATTCCACATGATTCCTCTCTGCCTGTTTCTGCAGCTTCTTGAGGCCCCTCTGCATGGCAACACAATCCTCTGTTGTATCTGCCAATAATCCCAGTTTTCTATCCACTGTGATAACCTAGATGAATAGTTGGAGTAACATTTTGCATGATAGAGTCACAGGAAAAGTCCTCATTTTACAGTAAATTTTTGCATCACTGAAGGAAGTATTTGTTTTCATTTTTTAAATTTTATTCCTTAATGCATTCATACTTCATGTCCTTTATTTCAACACAGCTTAAAACATTTTTTCTGCAATCTTGAGGAGAAAATGCCAAGGAAAAAACCCTAGCAAATATTATGGCAATTTTGTCTTCTAAGGTAGTAAATGAAGTAAAAAAATCATTGTCGATTCAGAACTGCTTTTTCCTTAGCCTGTCATTTGCTGAAATATGAAGTTTGACAACTTTTCTGTTTCTTACCCACTTTTAGAAATAGGGAATGTAGATAAAGATATGGTAATGCCTTGTAACACATTGTGATAATGAACATTATGAAGCAGGGCTGTTGTAGTTTTTATTCCTGTTGCTTATACTTACAGAAGTGTTACCATCTGACTTTTTTGGTCCTTCAGAATCTAAAGATTGTTGGGAGTTTAGTGACCCTAGAAGAGGCTGCATGCTCTGTTAGTGAGAAGGATAATTATCTGCTGCAAGCAGGGTGTGAATAATTAACTGCTTTTTCTGATCTGATCCATGGCTTTCAAACAGAAAAACGTTTTTGCCAGTTTTAGTGTTGTCCTAGAGACCATGGTGTTTTGTAGGTAGGCAAGAGTTTTTTTCTTTAGAAGCCAATTAAAAAGAGAACAAAATCTTCCCCATCCCACTTTCCTGTTTCACTGAGTTCATCTGAAAATACAGCTGGGATTATGTTGAAAGAAAAGTCTCGAAGACAGAGAACACTGATCTAGAAAATTGACAGCAGAGTCTGCTTTGGATGATATTATTCCTGTCAGCCTGTAAAACACAGACTGGCATGCATAGTTACAGTATCACAAGTATTTATTTCTGTCCAATTTCCAGGACTCTCCTAACCAATCCAATTACACCTTGCCAGGCACTCCAGGAGGCATTACCAGAGGGATAATCTCCCACCAACCAGTACATTTCTAATCCCTGCTATGCACTGCACTGCCTGCTCACCAATGAGCCGTGGTTGTGAGAGGTTTGATTACTGTTCCCATAAAGGGAAGAATGCCAGCCCGACTGAAAGGTTCATCCTGCCAGAAGGAGTCTAGAAGGGAGCTTGAAGAGTCCTAGACTCACTTAGTGAAGCCTGGGAAAGTCTGGAATCCATATGCTAGGCCATGCATTTTCAAATCCTTACTTAGTTCTTCCACCTTAGAGTTAATAAATCCTCCTGTTTGCTAACCAGAAAGGGAAATGTTTTAAGGATTTAATGAAATGTTTCATTTTTTTCTTGTTTTGATTTTGGGAGATGGAAAGAGCACAGAAATATAAAGGCTGTTGTTTGGGTTTTTTTGGTTTTTTTTTACTGAAGCCATTCAAAAATTATTTACAGATACTCTTGGAGAATGAGGAGCTGCTCTGCTTTTTATATATATAATTTTAGAAGATAAAACGTTGGTAAAAATATACAGATAATTTTTTGTGGTGTTCAAGAATTTAGGTTTGTTAAAGCTCTTCTGGGGTTTTTGAGGGTTGTTCAGTGGATTAGGGGAGAATATTTAGCTTCTTCACAGATGAGAATAAAGAGCAGATGTGAGTGGTAGAAAAACAAAGAGTTTTCAGCCAGTCATCAATATACATTTGCTTAAATTAAAAATGCTGAGAGTGGGCATATAAAACATCGCGTGTGTGCCTGTAAAATCAAAAGTACACTGTGATATTCAGCTTTCAACTTGCAGTTGCATATGAATAGGAAATATATTCCTCTATGAAAATACATTTCCTAAGTGTATTGCATAGGAAGGATTTCTTCACTGAAAGGTTTGTCAAGCACTGAAACAGGTTGCCCAGGGAAGTGGTTGAGTCACCATCCCTGCAGGTATTTAAAAGACAAGTATTGTCGCACTTGGCAACATGGATTAGTGGTAGACTTGACACTGCTGAGTTCATGGTTGGACTTGATCCCAAAAACATTGATTCTGTGATTGTGTGAAGCTCTGTGGAAAGATTGAAAAGTGGTTCTTTCAGCAAGGTGATGCAATTCCTACAATGTGGCAACAGTAGACAGTAGAATTTCAGTAGATTTTGTTTTGAGCAATGTATTTAGAAAATTAAATATTATTTTCAAGAATTTATAACCTGTCTTCCCGAGAAACTTATAATTATAATTAGGGTTATTAGAAGGACCTCTAACAATTCTTAATTTACTGAACAATTTCAGCTATATTTAACAGAGGAGTTATCTCAAAGATGCTGAAGAGATTTAGCTCACTCAAGCTAGTTATTTAAGGTCCTGCTATAGTGAATAGAGGGAGGAAAACTTGTCTATAGAGTAATTCAACCTATTTAGATATAGGTAGCATAAAATATTTTCTTAATATCAAGCACTACAGGCAAAAAAAAAAAAAAAAAAATATTAGTCATCAGGGACCTGGCAGTTAGCAAGCTATGAAAACCTGAATGAAAGAGAAGAATACAAATGCAAATTCTGGAGTGATGAACAAGGAAGCACAGAGGATTTTCTGTGTTGAAAAATTGCAGTAATTGTTGCAGATGGCTTGCACTATTTTTGCTTTAGAATTAGAATTGAACTGAAGAATAATTTCTTTCTATTAAAAACACCCCTACATCATTTATGTATACAGTTATTATTCTGAAGTCCATATACTGATATGAGATAATTCTTTTTTATTGATTCAGAAAAATTATGACATCACATAGCAATATATGCAGAACCAATACCTTGAACACAGAAATTCTTACTGCCAGGGTCTAGAAAATAAATTTTGTGTACTGAGGGCAGATTAAAAATAACAGTGACAAGCAGAGGGAGTTCCAACATTGAAAACTGTTTAGTCAGTAATTTCCTTTATGTTCCAATGAAAAATACAACTGTCATACAGTACTTCAGAAATAATTAGAGAAGGAACGCATTCTCTCTAAAGTATAACAAGATGTGAATTTTACTTGCATCTTTTAAACATGCTGCTTTCATTTGTTTGCATTTTTTCATAAAATGAGTTTTGGTAAAATACATGTTCTCTGCTAAGCATAATTTCCTATATAAGCAGAAAGAAAACTATTCCTTTCTCTCTCACCATTTCTGCAGGAACAAATCCCTAGACAGGAGCTTTAGTATGCAAATACTGAGAAGCACACTGCGAAATCAGTTCAGAAGAGCACACTCCTGATAGCATTGCCTTAGCAACGCTCTAGTTAAGATTAGCCCAGGAACCAGGGCTTCTGGGATAAATCGCCATTTTTTCATAATGTCCAGCACCACAGAGGAGAAAATTCTGACATTAAGGGCCAGATACTTGCTTTACAAAGCTGCCTTTCTATAAGGACAGTGACCACAGAACTGATAGCCTCACACAACCACCTCAGAGTGTTTGCTGTCAGGTTTAAAATATAAGCAGAATGTGTGGCAGTGTCACGCTGGAGACATACGTGATTGCAATATGACTGGAAGGGAATCTTGGGTTTGTGAAAATATGCAGTGAAGACTTTGTATTTCAGTAGGCATTGATAACTGCCTATAGGGAATATCAGCACTTAGAATGTCATAGGAAATGTTGACAATTCTTCTAGTAAGTGACTTAAATGACTCTTGTTGCTCTTCCTGGGTTAAGCCATGAGGGGCTCTATGGAAAGAAGAAATCTGGTATCCTAATTTGGTTTTTCATGAAACTTGGAAGTATTTTGGAGAAAGTTCTGTCTCTGCTCTGACTGCCCTGAGCTGTTATCCTGCCTCCTCACAGACTTCCCCTTCCTAGTCATTTCATTTGACCTTCAAATAAATACTTCAAATGCCTCCAAGAGATCTTTTTCCTTTCCATGTCAGCTTGGCATTAATTGTTCCTCCTGGTGGCCTTATTCAAACCAGGAGACTGTTTTACTCAAATCACTATGTGGTGTGTCTAGTGG